CTCATCCTACCATTCGCTTCTCGGCAAGTATCGCTCAGCCGGCAAAATACACTCTTTTATATTACTAGTTGTTGTTCGATGTCTTTCACCCTAATGCAAGTGTTGACAGAAACGAAAATGTAGTAGACATAACCACGCTACAAAAAGCCTCATGCGACGCAATAATGACATCAATAGTACACTCAACTGCACGTAACTGCGTTCAACGCGTGCTCAATCTGTGCACGTATATAAATACGCCCTCAAGAAACATCCCAGTGATTCGAAAGTTGCCTCTTCCACCGCCAAAGGGTTCAGTGCTAGGAAAATTTCTAGGAGCATGGCAACATGGCCTAACGATTATCAAAAAGCTTTCACAAGCTTGCAATAGCATTTCACAACACGCTGTTCAAGCGCAACTCAGTATATGCAACCATCAAGCCACGAAATAGCTGTGTGTAGATTCGTAGCACATCAAAGCCTGAAATTTCATGCTAGAAATAGATGTCTACCAAGGACAATGATTTTCCTCCCATACATTTGAAGCGTAAGGTGAACTCATGACAACAGGCTCCAAAGCTGTGCCTTAAATGGTTACGTTTAGATGTTCTTGTGTCCCACCTATTGCAAACTGCATCGACAGCGTTTGAGGAAGGCAGCGTGGGAACAGGGCACGCTATTTTTTTTTTTTTCATGTCTGAGAGAGTGCTGGTGTCACAAAAACAAATTACAGGTCAATGTGATGTGGTGGCAACAGTGACAACGATGCAAGAGGTCAGCGTTCATGTGGCTATATAGCACACAGCAATATTTTACTGACTAGAGGAGAAACTTGGCTGTGAAATCGCTAACCGCAAAAACGCTGACTTATTGTGCACGTACAATGAGCATAACCACGCGGACTTATGCGCTGATTCCAGATGCGAAACCGTATCGACTGCCGATGGGATGTAGTCGCAGTGGCAATGTTGACCAATCTATTCGCGGTTGCAACCAGTCGGACCATGGGGTGGTTCTACGTAGCGTTTATTGAGGAGTTCAGCTTGGATCGTCAATCCACATCCTGGCCCGGTTTTCTGCTCATGTGCTGCCATCGAACTGCAGGTAAGCATGTGCATACTCGCGCGATGAGTTCTTTTGCATCATGTTCCTCTGATGTCCTCGTGCAAGGCGGGTGCTTGATGCCCTGCAGTTTCATATGCCATGCGGGCAGAACACAACAACTAGAAAGCAGTGAAATTATGCTCCAGAATGCGCACCTACATCTACCCGTGTAGCTCGCCCGTGATGACGTAGTGACCGAAACATTGTGCTCCGGTTACGGAGCGCAATGTCATGGGTTTAATAGCAGCTGCTTCAGTTCAATGGTGGTGATATGCAACACCTTTCGGGAGCGAGGTGGTTCGAGTATACCAAGGAACTTTAGCTCTGAATTAGGCAAGAATGTTTTCGGGGGTAGTAAAACTCACAAAAATGCACAAAAAACACAACATGGCGGCCCACCCTAAAAAAAAACCCGACCAAACGTATGCTGATGCCTATTCCATGCGGTAAGCCACAACATATTTTCATTATTAGTTCTCTATTTAGTTGTGCCTAATTAAAAGGTTTTCAAAAAGAGAAGTGGGGCAGTATATTTCAAGAAAGAAAATTGTAGCCCAGCTTTCGGAACATCAGTCTAGACTGATGTTCCGAAAGTCTAGACGCTGTATTTTTATATATCTATTCTTTCTGAATTCCTGCTTAACCCAAATGCCCGATAAACAAAAACATACCTTGTGATATGCGCTCTTTAACTCCTGAATATATGTGCGCCGCAATGGCGTAGCAAGAAAGTGGCACACAAGGTCCGTACCGTCCATCCATCCATCGATGTGTCCATTCATCCGTCTATACGTCCAGGCGGATGGACGAACGAACTATCTATCTAGCCGCTGACATCTGCATGCTCTCATGATTCCCCCTTTAATGTGGCGTGAACCAATGTTGGTATGGGAGGGTAAAATGGTTTGACAAATATGACGCACTGATCAAGACCTAAATGATGTCACAATCACGTCACCTACGTCCTAAAACACTTTCCGTCAGACAGTGGCACATACCCACGCTCGCGTGTGTGCCACAGGTATGCGGCTATGTTTTACAGGTGATTGAGACTAAATATCTACCCGAAACGGCCAGAACACACTAGGGTAGTTTTAGCGTGAGAGCGTTAAGAAAAAGCTGACATCAGCCGCGTTGATCCGGCAATTGCAAAGAATAAATGTAAAGAACAGCAGGAGTAGAACGCATGCACTCTGCGTGGCAATAAAGTATTCTAGCACAGTGCCACGCCAGATCTCGAAACTAGTTTTTAAACAGACGATATGTTCATGAAACGTCACTTGTGATTGTAGTGCTACTGCTATCCAATTTCATAGGCATTAAATATATACTCCCATAATACAGCTGTCTTGTCGTCACGTCGGGTTAACATTATTGGTAGCTAAGCGTCATCCGCTGAAGTTTATTTATGTAGCAGTGTCCCGGGCTACCATCCTCGCGAGCAGCAGCGCTTCATATCAGCTTACCTCTTCTGGTGTTGGCGATATTCATGTTGCTGTTCGTAATGTTATACAACTGTAAACAACTGAATATATAAAATATACATGACTAGTCAACGTATATCTCTGCGTGTAACAATTGCAAATATCTTTAGCGCCACTTCATAACTTTTTACTCAGTGCGTAAGGAATTTTGGATACTTGAATGAAACATGTGTTAATGCTTCACAATAGCTGCAATATGGGCACGGCGCACTTTAAGAAGGCATGGAGGATGAAAAAGACCTGCTTCGATTAAAAAGGATTTTGTTACCACCACGCAGGTTTGTTTGTTAGTGTGCTCCACAAGCACATGTCGCTGTTTCTGATTGGCCTCTTGGGCAGCTTTTTCGCCTGGGGTGGTATGGCAGTATCTGCGTTTGCTCCGAGCATTTCCTGGATGTCTTTTACCATGGGAATAGTGCACGGTAAGTCGAAGTCTTTTTTTTTTTTTACTAGTGAAGTTGTTTAAGCTGACGATCACTCGTGTTTTGTCATCTAAAACGGCTAAGGTGGGCATGCAGCACAGGAATTGGGCAAGTCCCCCTAAAAAGTACAGCATGAGCAAGCAATAAAGAAAACACTTTACTCGTTGAAGCGAATGGAGCGCGTGAAACATTTGAAAAGTAAGAGTTTGTGACTGAGATAACCAGAAAGAGAAATGAAGGACAGATAGAGATAAAAAGAAATGCAAAATAGAGAGACAGGAGTAGACAAATACAAAAGATGTAGAAGAACAGACTGATAAATAGAAAGACAAAAACGAAAACACACAAAAATATATAAGATAAATGGAGCGCAAGAAAAAAATAAATAAAGAGAAACAAAGAGTAACAGAGAGAAGAAAGCCAGAGGAAGAAAAATAAGAAGAGTTACAGCAAACACACACACACACACACACACACACACACACACACACACACACACACACACACACACACACACACACACACACACACACACACACACACACACACACACACACACACACACACACACACACACACACACACACACACACACAGAAAGAGATGCCAGGAAAATTTACAAGAAACTTAGAGAAAGAGAAAGAAGACGTTGCAAAAAAGAGAAATCAAGGCAGCTTCATATGCCGTGGATTCCAGGCTACAAACAAGAAACAAATTATATGCCCGAAGGAAGCGCAGAGCTGGACAACCTTCCTCTTTTCTCTTCGGATTGTTTTCTTTCCTCCAGCCTTCATTCTTTCTCTTTCACAATTTTAACGTTCTTGACTTCTTTATTTGTATTCCTTTCTTCCTCCCTATTTATATATTTCCTTAATTATCTCGCTCTGCCAATTTTTCCTCTATTCCTTTTCACTCTACTTCGCGCTCGCTTCCACTCTTTCTTTTTTGTTTCTATACGTGATGTTTTGCCTGCGTTACGCCATGCGCACCGGTTTCTTTTTTGCTGCTAAGTATAAGTAATCATCATTAATGCGCTTAAAGAAGAAGGGCCACCACAAGTGCCAGGTGCCATATTTTCTGATCCCATGTCTGCGTTCTATTTGGAATTGAAGCCAAAGCCCGCTGTTAGGTCAACATGCATCCCGGCCGTGGTGGCCACATTTTCGATGGAGGCGAAAATGATCGAGACCCGTGTGCTCAGATTTGGGTGCACGTTAAAGAACCCCAGGTGGTCGAAATTTCCGGAGTCCTCCCCTACGGCGTCATTCATAATCATATTGTGGTTTTGGGACACCAAATCTCAGCAATTATTTTTATTATTATAATGCTGAAATGCTGGCAGAAGATACGTAAAATTTCGTAAAGCTGTTGGACGCATGACTTACCTACCAATTGGCCAAAGAGGCCTATTCATCAACATTTAAGAGAAAAGAAATGGTGGGACAAGTACTGCGAAAAATTCTTTGGCATATCCACATAGCGATTTTATGATTTGGCTGAACAACACAATGCATTTGTTCATGAGAAGCCGATACAAAAGATTAGCTTTGCCTACCTTGCGAATGGTTATTTTTCTTATTGAAATTTATTAAAGCGTGTAGTTTGAACTGAAGCATAATTTTACGGAGCCTGAGTTCTGGAGTAGTGTCATTCGTAACCATCATTTCTCAATGCCTAGCCAGCTTCGCCAATCACGCTGCCCTCCCAGGCATGAATGAAATTGTTTGTCACAAAATATTTTTGTCCAACACCTATATGCGTATGCATGCCCTATTCTTCACGTCTTGGTAATGATTAGATCAAGTCAGTTCTTGGTCACTGTGTAACTTTTGTTTATAACTAACATGTACAGCGTGTGAATCATATTTTTGAACTAGGCTTAATATAGTATAATACTATTGCAACATAAAAATGGCTGTTCATGATTACAGTAAAATTATTAAGGTCGCCGTCAGCAAACATTGCTTGACATGGGTGTTCATAATTTTGCATTCATACGCAGGTATTGGTTCCGGAGTGGTGATACAGGCTCACACGGTGGTGGTCCTGCAGCACTTCAGTAAATACAGGGGCATTGCAGCAGGTAGTATGTTCACCGCAAACCCTGTCAGCGCCATTTTGTTCCCGGCTGTATTGTCGGCCCTCAACGACGCCTACGGCTTGCGTGGAGCGGTGCTTATATACGGTGCTCTCATCATGCATATATCTGCTTTATGTCCCGTTTTGAAGGAGCCGCCTTGGATTGCAGGGGCAGGAGCCTTACGAAAAGAGGGTGCATGTGGCAACCATCGCGTGTACAAGACATCCATAGACTCAACTGGTTGTGACATGAAGCTTTTGGCTAAATCAGATGAGCCGGAAACCACGGCCTTTTCTAATGAAAAGATACTTAACGACGTTCACAGACATAGCGTTTCTACTTTAAAAGCCAGTACGTTGTCTTTTGAGGAAAACATGCACACAGTCAAAGTGGCTTTAGTAGAAGATGACATCGAAGGGCAACCATGTTTTGAACAATCCAAGGAGGACATTTTATTGTGTCAAAGCACCATTGTGTTTCAGATAGCAAGAGCTTATCAAGGTGATTCCTCATCGCTCACTGCAGAAGACACTCAGACTGCCAGTGCCTACACACACTGCGAACTGTTTCACCAGCCCTCATGGGGGTCACAACAAGCTACATCAAAAGAAGCCTGCTGAGGAGCATTCGCGAAATTCGCCCCAGGCTTACAATGCGTGCCAGGAAAGTGAGGTGGTAGTCGCTTCCGAATGCGGAACACCCAAACGAATGCTTTCACCATCCAGATGTCCCACACTTGTCAGAGAGCTGCTGCATAGAACCGTTCGCAGTGTCGTACCGAGCCGATTTTCACAGCTAGTTTCGTTGTCGCCGTCGTAGCGTCAACCATGGTGGACTACGTGAACATCGTGCACATCTTCACAATGATGGACTACGCGCGCGACAAGGGTGTGTCTCGCATACATGCTACTATGTCGCTCACATACGCCGCCTCACTGGAGATCGTTGGACGGCTACTTGTGCCTCTCATCGCAGATATGGGCTGGCTTAGCAGGCCCTTCTTAGTAGGTGGTTGTGCGATCACCGCTGGCCTGATTTTCGGGGTCACTCCGCAGACACTGCAAGTAGCGCATATCGTACTTCGGGCGCTGTCATCAGTGTTGATGGGGGCGCTTGTCACAATGAAGACTGTGCTGGTAGCCGACTACATGGGGACCGACGCCGTGTTTTTAGTGTCAGGAGTGTCAGGCTTTCTCCTCGTTCCGATGCTGCTCTGCAATCCATTATTATTTGGTGAGTGCGACTCTCCGGTTTGGGTTTTGTGCAATCGCGCGTCATCACGTTTATTGGGCGCAGCATTCATTTTGCAAAGTTTCCATTGTTAGCGCACTCGATAGTACCATACTAACTTGTCACCAAACATTCGTTAAAAAACAAACCATTGCTGCATAGTGAAGAAAGTTGACTACCTAATGTACAAAAGAAATAATGATATGCGAAGCATGCATCACGAAGTTTGCTGGTTGGTGCTTTTAAAATTTGCATAAATATGAGGCGGACGGATGTAGTACTAAGTAAATGTTTGTGGAAATCAGCAAGCATCTTTAGCTAACATGCAAGTGTTACAAGTGGTAAGTTCGCAGTTGCTTAATGACGCAATCGTTATCGTGTGCACTACCAGCAATAGCAGTGGTAGGTTGAAATGGTATTGTTCGATTTTTCCTGTAATGTTTGTTACTAGAAGCGTAATGTTGAAGCCTATGAAATTTTTTTTTGGCTTTGAGGCAAGTGATGCGAGGTGAACCGACGTTAGGTGCAGTAGTTGTGTGCACGTCGTGGACTTACCAGGAACGTCCACTGCACTGGCAGCTACACCAATTGATTGAATGATACGTGGGGTTTAACGTTCTAAAATCACCGTATAATTATGAGAGGACGCCGTAGTGGATTGCTCCAGAAATTTCGACCATCAGGGGTTCTTTAACGTGCGCCCAAATATGAACACACGGGCCAACAGCATTCTCGCCTCTATCGAAAATGCAGCCGCCGCAGCCGAGATTCGATCCCGCGACCTGCGGGTCAGCAGCCGAGTACCGTAGCCACTAGACCATTACGGTGGGGCGGTGGCTACAATGAGTAACTTATTGTCTGACATAACGCCATCACTCACGTCCAAGCACCGGCATCAGTATTAACGAAACATAGGTGCTTTATGGTTTGGCGAAGCGAATATCACATGCGTGATGAGGTTTATAGAGGTTTGAAGTGTTAACGAAAGAATACCGTACGATAAAGCAGTGCGAATCCGGCAAAGACGGCAGAGGCTTTTACTCGATCGCAGCGCTGCTCTTTTGTCGTCATCTTTGACAGGTGCGTACCCATTTGTGCAGGAGCTTCACTAATACACCAGAAATGAAGCGTAGCCATCCTGGTGAGTCAGGGAGGTGGTGCAATGACGAGGTCGTTGAAGGGCTTGGGACAGTTGACGTGCACAGTTTCGCCTCCTCCACGGAACAAGTCTTGCGATTGTGTGAGGCGCTCGACCATGTAGTTCACCGGCTGAGGTGGCATCAATGACACGGTACGGACAATAGTAGCACCCGGGAAGCTTGGAAAAAAGGCCAGGAACGCGGTAGGGGGCAGCCAAAGTCAAACAAGGGAGTCAGCAGGAATCGTGGGAGCTGGGTGACAAATGCTTTGTGTCGCGTCACGTTTTTTTGTCTACCTTGAACTTCACTGGTGAGGGAACGAGCCAAGGCAGTCCTGGGGTATCGGGCGACTTGAGACATTTAGTGTACTCAGAGGCATCATTCGGTACGGGACTAGGGTGTCCGATGAGTGGGTAGCTCGCGGCAGTATAGAAGAACGACTGAAAGCCGGTGGCCAGTTGCGTCGCGGTATTGTATGCGAAGTGAACAAAATGCAGTGTATGGTGTCCCAGTTTGTGCGGTCGGAGGATGTACACATCCTTGACATGTCGTCACCGAGCGCTTGATTGAACTGCTCGGTGAGATCATTGTCTGTGGATGGTAGGCAGTTGATTTTCGGTGGATGAGTCTTCCTTGCACACTTGCTTTATGCTCTGCCATAGTAGAGTACCAAGTGCTCTAAATAGTTAACAACTTTTTCTAAACACACATACTACGTTCAGCGAGAATGACCTCCGACAAGTTCACGTGATCTCCAACATTGAGCAGTTCCTGAGGAGCACCGTAGCGTAGAATGAAGCTACGGTGAATGAAAGTGCAACTTCACGGGTTTTTCTTGCCAGGAGAGTAGCAGTGTCCACGTAGCGCATCAGCTGATCAACGCCGACAATAATCCACCGGATTCCAGAACCACCATACAAGAGGGTGCTGTAGAGGTCGATACCTACGTGGTGAAATGGGCGAACCAAGCGCAGGAGTAGCTGAAACACGCCAATAAGGTGTTGCGGTGTCTTGCCTCGTGGACAAGTAGTGCAAGGCTGAATGTACATATGCGCAAAGCGATACATTCCTCGCCAGTAATGTTGCTGATGCTGCCTTGCGTAGGTTTTCAGGATGCTGGCGTGAACACTCCGGGAATGTGCATGGAAATTCGCCCAGATCTCAGAGCGCATGTGACGAGGAAGCAAGAAGCCACTTTCGACCATCTGACATGTAGTTGTGGTGGAACAGAATGTTGTAGCGCACGGAAAAGTGGACGGCTTGGTGGTGTAGTGCTCTCGTCGAAAGGACAGCATATGAATCGTCGTGGTATAGACGAACTAGAAAGCAAGGTATTTGTCCTATTAACTGCTCCGAAAGCATGGCAGTGGTGCACAGTAGGAACAACAGATTTTCCCGCTCAATTGAATCCAAGCGCCAACCAAATTAATCCAGGCACTAGTCAATTTAATCCAGCCGCCACTCAAATTAATCCAGGTGCCACTCATTCTAATCCAAGTGCCACTGAAGTTAATCCAACCACCAGCCGATTTAATCCAGACGCCAGCGAATTTAATCCTCATAACATTGTGGCTTCAAAACGACCCAGAATTTTCGGGAATACGGGGAGTGAATAGCTTTGGAGTGAACTTAAGAGGGAAAAAGCCACGAATGAGTCTCTAGTGACACAACGTGACTCACGCGACTTCATCACGCCTATTACCCGCGTAAGCACTATTCACACCTTCGACATGCATATCAAAGAAAACGCCGTCCACACAGTAATAACTTGATACCTATTAACCAGGCCAATGATCTCATCACGAGTGACTCATGTGACGTCCTCACGCATACCACCCACGCACTCACTGTCTTAACCTTCCGTCATGCATATCAAATGAAACGTCTTTGAAGGAGCAGGAGCTTGATATCCTAAAACTCGGCCATGCCACAGGATCACCAGTGATTCAGGGGACGTCACCACCCATATCACCCACGCACGTAGTTTGCTAGCCTGCCGACATGCATACCAAACGAAACGTCTTTGAGAGAGCAATAACGTGTTACCTATGACTCGGCCAACTGACTTGATCACTAGTGACTCAGGTGGCGTCATCACGCCTATCACCCACGCACGCAATGTATAACCTGCCATCATGTATACCAAACGAAACGTCTTTGAGAGGGTATAATTTGAACGCTGTCAATCGGCCTAGCGACGTGATCACTAGTGACTCATGTGACGTCATCGCGCCTATCACACACGCACGCGGTGTCCAAATCTGTCTTCATGTGTATCAAAAGAAACGTCTTTGATATAGTAATAACTTTAATGCTGTCACTAGGCCCAGTGACGTCATCACACCTGACACCCACGCAAGCACTCGTTAACCTGTCCTTCATGCATATCAAACGAAACGTCTTTGAGAGAGTTTAATATAAATAAATTTATATGTTTAATATAAGTAATATAAATTTATTTATATTAAACATGTGCGTCGCTTTTCACTAATTCGCTGTCATGCAGGCGACGGGCAGACGTTCTACATTGCAGACGACAATCCCACAAAATAATGAGTTGAAGAATTGAAGATATGTTTTAATGCGTGCTAGAATACCATAATGCTGGTTGTTTATGATTCGAAGCAATTGCTTGAAGTAAAACTGAAGCAGACGACATTGTGTCGCAGCTGTTTTCGGCGAGTCTGTTTCAGGCAGAAGACGGGACGACGTGGTGCGACGCGAGCGACAAGCCGGAGTATTTACAAGTTTCTGTCCGTGTCATCGTTAGGTGAGCTCTTTTGCAGGCCTGGAATAAATGAAAGTTGGCGCTTCGACTACTGGTGCTATGGAAGACCAAGACTCTCGGCGTCCCGGAAGGCCACGGAAGGCCACGGAAGGCACCTGATGAACCGAAAAGAGTACGCTCGCGTTTCCCTTGTAGATCGTTGCCGGATAATAGATGTTCACAGGCGCGAAGGTGATTTAATAGTGCTCTCCGAAACACTAAAAATCAATATAAAGACCGTGCGTTCTATTGCCGTTAGTGACCGTGACACAGCTAAAACACGTGGTGGTTCGTCGAGAAAATTTGGACCAAACGTGGTGAACGCCCTGCAACGAATCGTACAGGAAAATCCATCTTTCACGCTGGAACAAATGAAGAGGGCTCTCAAGAATGAGATGCCTAACATTGAAGTGAGCACGTCGACGATTGATCAGCTTCTCGACGGCCATGATTATTCGGTGAAGCTACTGACCCCGAGCCCAGTAAATAGAAATCGCGCCGATGTGAAACAGCTGCGGTGCCGATTTGCCCAGTGGCTGCAGAGCGAGGGTAACTACGCTAACACGATGCCACTTCGACGAGACCAAATTGAATGTGTGGTGCTCGCGCAGTTTCAGGAAGGGCGAAACGAGGTGCTCCAGCATGCCGTTTGTCAACTAGGGCGAAGGGGGCGAATGTAAATGTTATAGCCTGCATGTCAGCGATTGGCCTTTTTCAATTGGACAATTGCGGACAAGGTCCACTGGGCTGTCTTCATCGACTTTCTCGCAGAAGTGTCGAGTAAAGTTTCACAGCAGGAACCAGGAATACAGACAGTGTTCCTGTTTGACAGCGCACCACCGCACCGAACAGGCTGTCCTCGCGGCAAGCGACCACATGTACAGTCAAGTGGCTACCGCCATACAGCCCATTCTTCAGTCCGATCGAGAAGCTTTTGTCAAAGTTCAAGGCAGGTGTGAAGGGCTCCCTAAGCGAGCGGAGGGATGATCTCCTCACGACACCGAGAGGAATCTCCAAGAAAGAACATCGCCGTGCTCTGCTGGTTGAGGCCGTGGGGCGGTCTATGCAGCACATCCTGCGTGTGGACTGTGCCGCTT